GAAGCTGCTGCCTTGGCTGACAGCAGGGGTTTGAACCAGGAATCTCCAGAGCTAAAAAAACATGCAGGGACTGCCTGACGAGAAGGGCCTTTTTATAAAGGGTTATGCATTATTTTTGTACAAAGGAAGCTCTTCCCACATGTCTGACAGCCACAGGGGGTTGAAGCTTGAATAAGCTTGTGTGATACTTACCCTCCTGATTGACACCCTGGGGCTGAACTTTTGGTGCCACCAAACTGAAAACGTAAATTGCCACAGCTTGAACTAAGAAGTAATAGTTTTAGCAGGGGACCGTAACAAATCATAACCTCTGTGGATTGGCCCAGAAGGAGCAATGTCCAAAACACATGCTCACCAACTGATTATGCTAGTAGCCTCTACCACAAGAGAGAACAAGTGAGAACAGGATTGCCTTAAAGCTCTCTCATGCTGATTTAGTTGTAAATTAGGCTATATCTGAGCCTTATTTAAAAGAAACAATTCATGTAGCAAAACTGAAAGTGCCAATGCAAACAGGAGAAACAGAATTGATGCATAACGATGGTGATCAATTTTCAAGGGAAAACGTTTTACAGGCCACCTATTCTTTTCTGACAGTCTTTCCACAAACAGAGGACTTTAATTTAGGCACTGATACCATAGGCAGAAGAAATATTTTATGAAAAATCAAGGTTCAGTTCTTTATCCTAGAGCCTTGTCTTCATATATGAAGCAGTGTATCAAGGTTTTCAAAAGAGTTTTAAATCCAAAACTGGTACATGTACGAAAATTGGTTATACACAAAAAAGGAGCATCCTACGTTTGTCTCCAGTAACTATGGTTTACTGGGATAGGCTGGCAAAGTTCAGCAAGGAATACTATTTACAGTGCATTATCTGAAATAAAATGTGATGCAAAAGCAGTCAAAAGAAGAGCTGGCTAAGTGTGAAATTTTCTTTGTAGTCAGCTGCTGATCCGCAGATGAGTCATTCGTAAAGGCTTGCTCTGGTTTCATCTCATCACCAGTTCTGAATCTTCTGAAACCATTTCCAGAGATTCAGTTTAGTCAGATGTGCCTCAGTCGTCATGACACCTTCAGCAGTGCTACACGGGAGAATACAGGGCAGTTTTCCTCTCCCCACGACTTTTCTTCGTCACCTCTGCAACGTGAGGACACTGTCTGTGCTGTTTCCATGCTACAAGGGCTCTTCTTTCCCTTATGCCTGGAGCTATTGGGTTTGTTGGCTTTAATACACGGGCAGAGCTGGACAGAAAGCCATAATGGGAGCAGTGAAGCCAACAGGCAGCTCAGCAGCAGCAGCTGGTGGAGCCCTCCTCAATCCAGGAAGCCTCAGTGGCAGCTTATCAGGAACAACTCAGAGAGAAGTGCTTAAAAGCTCGGCATTTGAGAGGCATGTCCACAGCAGCAGCATGAACATGGAGATGGCTGTGCCAGCGTTGGCTTTTCAAACCCGTAACCTCTGATGCAAGACAATGCAAATGCATTAGGAAGCAGAGTTACTGAGCATGAACAGTGGCTGCTTTGCAAAGCAATTATCAAATAAAACACAGACATCCCCACATCTGTGGATTTTGTGGCCTAGAACATTTTTGTTATTAAAATTCTTCCAGTCTACAATTAAATTAGACTAGGAAAGCATGAAAAGCCCTTTTGCTGATATAAGAGTGTTTATAACCAAGCCTGCTAGCTTGCACACCAGACTTCGGTTCTCCGATGTGTAAAAAATGAACTACAATACCAGTGTCCATACCGGTTCTACTGCTTTCCATCGGCTATAACACTACTGAGTGAAACTAATGTGGCATTTTCCATCATCCTCCTCTTGTTCCCTTTGCCTGAGAGACAGACACTGCCTCAGCAGCACTCCCAGTCTTGGGCACCATAAGAGCAACACTCAAACTCAGGGCCTGAATGCCAGGCAATATGTTGTGCTGTCTCTGCTCTGCTAGTGCTGCCTCCCAATGCAAACAAGCGATTTCCACAGTGCCGCAGCCCCTCCTGTCTGAGCACTGACTCAGGCTGGACCCGATACAGCCCAGAGTCATTCTGCCACTACACCCACAAGTTACAGCATCTGATGTGGACAATAAATGGACTAATGTTTATTTAATTATTTGGTTTTGTTTCTTGGTGTTTTTTTTTTCCCTAGTGCTCTGAGCTAGCACTCTAAATCAATGATGGGGAGCTCATGCACACAGTTCATATACAAGCAAATTCAATTACTAAAACAAAACAGCAACACAAATCAACCCAAAATGGTAGTCTTAGAGACAAACTAAAAATAGTGCCTTCTTCCAGTTTTATATCTGAACTGTTTTCAGTCTCCTTTCCAGCACAGTGTACATTTTGACAGTCATCAAATAGTGGTGATAACTGCAAAGGGGGCTGCCTGTTTTTAGGCACTCTCCCATTCTTTAAAAATGTTGCTCAGCCCCAAATCATGTGAGATCTGAAATATCTCCCAGGATTAGAAACCTTCCCTTTCTGAATGGAAATACACTCCATGGAAGCCTGAAGCCTCACCAAAATAAAAACCCCCAATTATTTCCATGAACTTGGCCAAGGTAGTCTTCATCTGTGGCTCTGAGCCTTCCTTACTGTGCAGTATGCCCTCCAGTCTGTGAGCTTCTCCCAGGACATCCAGCCCCTGAGTCCCAACTCTAAAGCAAGAAGCAAGCAAATGCCAAGCAGCTGCTATTTCCATCAGACTCAATGATCTTCAAGAGCCACCAAAGAACAGGCTGGAAGTTAATGCCTCTTTACTGCCCTTGAAGAGGTCAGACCCAAGGCTGCAGAGCTTTCAGGTACTGTCTTCCATGGGAAGTATGTTAAAAAAGTCTGGCATGACCACCTGTCCTGCTACGTCCATGTATGCCTGTACAGCATGGTACAATGGTACAATCCAGAACCACAGAAACCATTTTCCTTCTTCAGGGCTATGATGTCTGGAAGCCCTGGTAAACTTTGTCCAAAGTAGATCTGCTAGATGGATTTTCTCTAAGCTGCTCATCCTGAAAGCACTGGGACCTCTTACCTGCTCTAAGCAATTCCCTCTGCTTTGCATTTGCCAGTGTTTTTCAAATCAGAAATTCAGATTTGACATCCTACATCCACTGAATCTGCATTTTCTGTCTATGCTTTGTTTCAAAGGAAGATTTCTGATCAGCTCTAGCTAATGTCCCCGTCTTTTCCTGTTGTATGCTGGCACTGCTTCTCTGAAGGCACTGAATCCAGTGACTGCAACAAAGCTCTGTTGACTTCACCAGCTGAGGCCTGGAGACAAAATGTTTTCCACAGAGAATGGAACCGTATATCATTATTTATCCTAGATCATTTGAACAGCAAATATTCACAGTTAGTATGAGTATATGTGTTCTACAAAGCATACAGAGTTCCCTTTCACAGCTGGGACTACAAGGGACAAAGCAACACATTCTTCTTTCAGTTCTGGTGTGTTGAATTTGTATCCCAATTTCATTCATGCATGGCTGCTATTAAACCAGCAGAAAATTCAGAAAAGTCCACAGTATTTGCTTAGGATGGTCCGGAAAGAAAAGGTTGTAAGTCAAAAGTGAGAAAAAAAAAAAAAAAGGGTTGATGTATGGTATGCTCAGATCTGGGATTTAAAAATGACATGATCTGGGTGTGAAAATCCCTCATGTTCATTAGTTAAGGTTCATATGCTTCTTTTGACAATATAGACCAACTGATCTCAAGATAGAAGAACAGTCAGGCATGGGGTGCTATTGGGCCCATTAGCAAGACTTGTACTGAATTATGTAAATCATTTAAATGGATGAGATTCACCAGATGGTTTCTATTGGGAGAACTGAACCTTAGTGCATACATCTGCATCACGTGCTTGCAGCTAAAATCTTCTCATTACTTTCAGTTGTAATACTCTATTTTTCCCCATCTGCTTTTTTTATTATTATAACTATTTATTTTTCCACAGAAGGGAATTCATTCTTGCTGCTAGCTTAGTACTAAGCAGTGCTGCCAACTGCAATGAGAATTTGGTTTCATAATATAGTGGACAAAAATGAGTTTATTGGTTCAAAAATTATTTCACAGATATGAGTGTCGATAATTAGGTGTAGTTCTGCATTACATTTACTATAGCAGACAGATTATTAGGATAAAAAATACAACTTGTAATTACTTTTATGATACTGGTACTTAATAAACAGGTAGTAGTTTTGTCACTATGAACTATTCTAATTTATAGCTGATAGAAAAAACAGTCTTACCTAACAAAACTGAATGAAGCCTCACTGGGAGTATTTTAGTCAAAAAAGATGTTCTATTCAAACTGACTCGGCTTGCTAACATCATATAGTGTTGAGTACCTTGAATTTTTCTTCCAAAGGGAAAAAAAAAAAGTGTATTCATTGGATGAAGCAAGAAAATAGTCTGGGCAAGAAAATAGGCTGGAGTGTAATCAGCACAGACCATGCCAATACTGTGCTTCAGAAATCAATCTGAAAGTTTCTCTAGGAATCATAATTTTATGCTGGTCTTAAACAGCAGCAGATGACGATGCCACACACAGCGGTTCAGCTATGCTGGCCAATTAATTAGCATGGCAGAACTAATCCTTTATCTGTGCTCTCCCATTCTAAATGGGTCTTTTCTAACTGAAGTGAGAAAAAGTATGCCTAGATCCTGGATTCCCTTAGGTCCTTAAAATCAGAGTTGAATTGTATTTGATTTACACAAATAAATGTCTTTGTAGATCTGAGCCTTTATTTTCAAGCTAGGTGCACTCCCATTGTTTTCTTCTTCTTACAGTTACTTGTCATACAGATCATACTCATTTCGATTTCTGTATGCCTAAATATATTCTTCCGTGTAGGTTCTTGAATATAAAAATGCCAAAGTTTGTCCATAAAAAGATGTGGTTAGTGATGTTTTTACTGAAGCTTTTTTTGTTTATTTCATACAGTTAGTTTTTGTAATAAAAGAAAAGAGAGACTATATATAAATTAAAGAATCCTACCCGGTTGCCTTCAAACTTTGAGCGATCATTGTTTGCCTTTGCTGTTTTTTCTGCAAGCTTCTTCTGCCTTTGAGGGCCTTTTCCAAAGAAAATGTAATTGACAAAGGCGTATTCAAGTAAGGCCAAGAAGACAAATACAAAGCAGCCCATGAGATACATGTCAATGGCTTTAACATATGGAATTTTAGGCAAAGTCTCTCGCAGATGAGTGTTGATTGTTGTCATAGTCAGCACAGTTGTAATTCCTACACAAAGAAAAAAAGAGCATATATCTTACAACTCCAAGCATACCATGTTTCAATTTTACTTTTGTTTTCGGCAAATTTGCCTTGTCAGTATGAAGAAGCTTAAAAATTTGTGAAAGATATTTCGCAGGTGACATCACTGCAAATGAAAGCAAAATTAAAGTGTCATGCATTATTATTCCGTTACAGTATTTCCTTCATATGATCGGGGGAAGAGCTAACAAGGGGGCCTGGCACCACTGCCGTGAGTTAACGTAGCTTCATGTAAGCCAGTGTAGCTGTACTGAGGATCTCTTCCATGAAGACCAAAGTGATCTGCAACAGGAAGACAAATAGTCTGCCAAGCATCAGAAGGTGTGCCCTTCCAGCATGGTGCTGCTCAACACAAAGGAAAGACGTTTTTAAAAAGTAACAAAACTAATTAGGGGTCTGGATAGATAAAACCATGTGCACATATTAAGGCAGAGTGTTTGAATGGATTGTGAAAGATTCCTCTCATGCAGTTTTAAAATTTCTAAGAGTTAAGCAGTTGGTTGAAGTTAGTCCTCTAGGGCCCCCCAGTAGCAGATGGAGAGAGACAAGCACCTTTCTAGAGTAGTTCATCCCATCTATTTTAGACACCTATTTCAGGAAAGGACAATATAGAAGAGGGATTTGAGATGACTAGGTTAGAGTAGTAGTCTAATTTTTACAGAGAAAGAAGCGAGATGAGCAATGAGAGGCAAACCATGCCAGAGCAGGTATGTGCATTTGTGGAAAGAAAAGGCAAAGGAGCGAGAGCAGCATTTTTATAGTGATCAACTGGACACTAATAAAGTACCTAGAAAATCTATAAGGTATGTCAAAACCTCATTTATTTACCTAAGTGTGGACATAGCACCTGAAAATGTATCACAGAGCACTGTTTTGAAAAGGTGGTAAGAAAAGAAAGTTTATTGTCAGTCTGCTTGAATTCACAATAAACTGCAGGGTCTGTATCTCTGCTGGAAATTTTATGGGAATTGCAAATCACAGGTGGCTGAAAACACTGATTTGTGGAATAAGTCTACATTGGTAAAAGAGGCAAGCCATTCTCATAGGTCCCCTCCATTACTATTTTCTCTGATTCCATAATTATACCATCAGTTTGTAAGTAGTCACTAAAATGCAGGCAGAACAAAAATAAAGGATGAAAGAAAATTGCTGCCATATTATAAAGCACAGCTTCTTTTACCTGAAGAGACAGAAATAAAGACAATATAACTCAAAATCAAGCTGTCGGTGTAAACAGTGTCACTCCAGGGAACTGTAGTAGTAGCCTATGAGGTTCTGTAACAGGTATTTTGTATATTTAGTAGGTCGGCGTCATGCAGTTTTCAGTGCTTTTCCTCCAAACTGTGAAACAAGTGTGTGCTGATGTCAGATTTTCCATGGCTTGAAATACAGTGGAGACACACACAGCACAAGCTTATTTAAAAACTATATTGGGTATAACTCACTCACCTCTGTAGTAAAATGAGGAGTATAGCTGACACATGATTTTTACCTAAAGAAACTTCAACAAAGTCTCTAGAAAACCTCCATGCCAGCACAAGAGCAGGGGTGAGAAGGGTGGAGGACTGCATCAAACACTATCATACGTTTGCAGCCCAAGGGATTTCTCTAGCCTGAACTAGCTTGGTTTTTTTGTAGGATTACCTGCTGCTGCTTCCATAAGGGATTCCACAAGTTACCTAAGATCAAATTGATTTTTGTATCAGAAATCCCACAGATTCCTTTTAACACACCCTAGGCATCTCACTAGCATCCCACAGATGCTTACCAAAGCCTAGGTCAACAAGGGACTTAGAAGCCTGCCCAGTCGGGGTTATGATGCCCACAATTTTGGTGCCTGTTCCCAGGCTGTAATCTAGATTCCAGAGCTAAATCCATAAAGGCCACACAGGAAGACTTTGGTGGCTCTCTTGGTGATCCAGAAGATGAAGCACACTGAATAGAAAGGTGGCTCTCACTAACCAAAAGGAAATACATCCCCTGGGAGATTCTGACACTCTGCAGGCAAATGTCCTTCTGAAGATCAGTAATTTATTTTAAAGCACAACTGGAGGGGAAGCAGCTGACACTCACCTATCATATAAAAATAGGATAATCTTGTGACTACAACCCTTCCCAAGAATGACAACTCCTGAAATTATTTTTCTCCTCGCTCAAAAGACCAAATTTAGGAACTTCTAGGGCTAGCTAGCAAAAACTCAGTTTTGAGCAGAATTGGTAGTTTTGAATATTTCTCTTGAGATCAGCCCTGTATCAGCTTCTATCATCTGCACTGTTCAGAGCACACAGTCTCTGGAATGAGCTGGCCTTTGCCTGGGTTTCTCTATTGAGGCAACTACTTGGTTCACTGCAGGCTGGAGCACAGACAGTGTGTGCAGCAAGGGACCAGGGACAGGAGCAAAACATGGAAGTGAATGAACTAGAATCAGGCTCTTGCAGAGAACACAGGCTTCCTGCAGGGGGTGAGTAAAAGCTTGTCTCCACGTCCCTAAGAATTGCACAGGGAATCCTTCCTCTAACAAATACCCAGGCCAGCAGGCCTTACCCTCCTCTGTACTGAGCTTTTCAGAGCCAGTTACATGTGTCCAAAGATGCTATATTGCCTTTAAACTTTGATACCATTTCATATCAGCTTCAGACTCATAAGAAGGGCTATACAAAGGAACATAAGATTAGACCTATGGTACTGAACTTTATTATACAAACATCATAGACATAATCACCAAGGCACTAATTGTTTTCTCAGAAGAACACATTACATGGATTTTCATCCTTTCAAAAGGACTTTCTATCAATCAGAAATAGAACATCTGGGCTCCTGAGCTTGCCTTGAATGTAGTCTCCAACTTTTGTTCTAATATTTGTGTTATCACAGTATGGTACTTGAACTTGTGCTACAGAGAAACAGGCCACATGAGACAGTCCTGTTTCTTAAACAAGGAAAAACTGTGTGAACTCATTACAGAAGGGCATGGAATGTCACTGGGTTTGGTAACTTCTGTCTAACCATCTGTTCTCTGCAGTCCTGGCAGGCATGTAAAATCTAGAGACTAGATGTTTGAAGTTCTCCCCTCACTCAGTCATAATGTCTCCAGGGTGGATCTTTGGTATCCAGTAGCTCATTTGTGATCCAGAGCTCAACAGCTCCAGAGCTGTTTGGAGTCTATGTCCCACCTTCCATTAAGTTACTACTTAGCTGCAACCTGCTGAACATGCACTAGCTGCTGAGTGGTAATGCCAGATTCTGTCATGCCCATATGCACCAGCTAATCCACAGTATCTGTAGAATTACTGTACAGTAACTGCAGTTAATCTACAATATCTTCAATTATCCAAGTTCAGATGCTAGGATGCAATACTATGTTGCACAAATGTATAGGTGTATCTGGCCAGCCTGCCTTGCTATGTGGGATCTTGGGAGGTAGGTGGTACAGAGATGGGGAATCTCATGGTCATGGGTTGGACTCACAGTTTGCTGTGGTACCTATCAGAAAAATAAGGGAACTAGGGAATATGTTCCTGTTTTAAGAAGAGAAGAGAATGTAGTAGGAAGTTATACAGCATAGGCTTAGTGTCAAGTTTTGGGAAAGAAGGCATGTGCTATTGGGAAGCACAGGGTTGAAGACAGGATTTGGGATGAAATGAGAGGCGGCAGTAGACATAACGATTATTTAGGGATCCATTTAATATTCCTTGTCTCTAGCTATCCCTGAGTATGCTTCTGTAATAGATGAAATATATCCTGTGAGCCACTTTCCCTTATTTAAAGGATACTTTGATCTGAAAAGGTCTTAGACTTGGATTACTAATCTGTGCCAAATGCATGTTTTTCTGCCATGAGGTAAACGGCACTTTAAGCTGTGATAAAAATGCACTTAGCATACCGTGCATTCTGAGGGTGAGCTGGGATGTCATGGTCTGTAGCTGACATTCCCCTGCACTCTCAACGAGCACATGGTTCTTGACATCTGTTCCTGCCACTGTCAGTTAAAGCAGCTAGGACCTCAGGAGGAGGCTTGGAGCCACACTTGTCTTCCCACACTGAGCTGGACTGAAAACCCACACTCAGGCCCTTGGAGTATGATTCTGGAGCTTGTCCCCTTGCTGAAGCTACTGACAACAACATTAACTTTTATGAGAACAAGGCTGGGACCCGTATGAGCCGCTTATGGCAGAGATTTAGTGGTAGCTACATTCTTGCATGCAGGGGAAAACTCATCACTTTTGAGGCAATACTGAATGACATAATTTTGACGTAAATGATTTTGGAATATCAAAATACTGACATCACATTGCAGTCTTTAACAATCTCTGAAGGCTACATCCAGCCTGACATTTTAATGTCCCACTCGTTCTTAGCACATACCAAGGGCAACTCTTGCTGCTGATGCATCATAATTGATCCAGAATGACACCCATGATAAAATGGTAATCAGTATGGAGGGCATGTAGGTTTGAAGAATAAAGTATCCAATGTTTCTCTTCAATCTGAAGCTCAGCGAGAGTCTTGGATAGGCACCTGAGGAAAGGGAGAGGAAAACAGCATTATTTATACTGAAGAAAAGACACTTGCAGATAGTTGTCTTCAGTTTCCATAGAAACTAAAGCATGCACATTTTATGGGGTACTATGACATCTGCAGAACAGTAGGGAAAACGCCTTCACTGTATTACTGCTTGGTATTAAAAGAAACCTTGCAGTGAATATAGTGCTATCCAAGTAATTTGTTGTTGAGAAGAAAAGAGAGAGTAAGTTATTCTAGATTATTGAACAGATGGGTGAGCACTGGTTAGTTTATAAAAACAGATGCTTAGGTCCCCAAGTAAAATGCTTATCCAAATACACAGTTTTACGTATAGTATTTATATTGAGAGGATTAGTCATGTGCATAGTTTTGTATTTACATGGAAGAGTTGTTCATGAGATGGCACTTCTTAATTACATCCGAACTAAGAGAAACATGCTACCTGTGGTGTCAAAAACAAATAGTAATGAATCACAGTGAGGAAAAGCCTTCAGACCAGATCCTCTAACATCAATTAGAGCCAGACAGAATTTTTCTTCCAAAAATATTTTAAGCACAAAAAAAATGATTTTATATCTGTGTTTACATACAGGATTCATGAACTGTTACAATTGGAGCAAATAAATAATGAAAAGAAATTAATAATCTCAATGTCAATGTTTCAAACAAAACATTTTATTATTTAACTTCAAACTGGTGTAGTTCAAAATTGGTGTTACTCTTACCAAATATATTTTATATATTTAGAAATCTCAAACAGTTAAAAAATTTGTGACTTCTTTCCCCAAATGCAAAGATGATTAAATCTGAGTACAGCTGTACAAGAAAAAGGTAGTCATTCACACAACATTAGCTCCATGATTTCAGCATTTGCATCACTAATCATAGATATGATACTTCTAATAGCTCTTCTAAAAGCTCTAGTTACAGTCAACATCCTAAAAACACTTCTGAACATACTGAGAGCCCAACTAGATATTAGATCACATCCCACCTATTCTAATGCAAATATGTGCAAGATATGAAAGATTACATCTAGAAACAAAGAAAAAATTACAAACTTCCCTTTAAATTATGTTCATATGTTTGGATATGAGCATAAGAAATGAAATTTGCCCATATACACAAGAATGATGGATTTCCTGAGAGAGAAAATGAAAGAAGGAATAGAAAACTGCAGATTTCTCTTCATCGCATTCCTGATAGTTAGGTATGACTTTGAGTCATATGACAGAAAAAATGCTACAGGCATACAGGATGCTTCCAGGCAGCAGAAGCATCCAGGGAGTATCAAACTTTATGCAACTATCCTTAACTGTTTTATCAAACAATCTCAGAACTATCACTGGAAAAAGAAATATCTAGTAGCTGTATTTGGTTGCTGTGATTTCTTCAATCAGCAACAATTTTTTTCCAGGATGAAATGCCTTCTAATTTCACCAGTAGAAGAATACTGGTAGAGTCAGAAGAATTTATTTCATCATGAAAATCTGACCAAGCTTTTCTGCTGTCTAGAGCAGTCAACATAATTTTCAGCAAAGAATCATTTAGACTTTAGCTTGCTTAACATCTTCATTTTCCAATGACCAATGTTTAATTTCAAAAGACAAATTCTCTCTTTGAAACCATGCCTACTTTTTTGCTAACAAAGCTTCACTTTTTCATTGAGCTTCTTATGAAATGGTTTCCATGGCCTTGTGTCTGCAGACTATGTAAATAAAACAGGAAAATACCCTGCTATCATGAAATACATAAAAAATGTGGCAGACCTGATCACCTTTCTGCAGTAAGAGTAGTGCATCAGACAGAAATCTTTACAAAGCTCTGTTGAGGAAAATTATTTCATATAATACACCACCCACGTAAAGGATTCTCTATAAATCTCTTCCTTTCCAAAAGTCCTGTCCAGGTCTGGGTGTCTGTGGAATATCATTGATAGAGGTGATGACTGGAAATTCTCCCATAAAATACTGATACTTTGATAAATAGTCTGAAGGATTCATTCAAGAAGGTTCAGTGGAACTGAATCATTAAATCAAAGCCTCTTCTTGGGCTGCTCCAGTGCCAAGGATCCTGAACGCACTGGGGAACCTCAGAAAAAGAAGAGAGCACTTCGCTATTGATAAGGCAGGAAAAATGGTGTGGATGGAGGAGGCATGTGTCAACAGTGTAGAGAAGTGATGTGTCACGTACATCAGTATTGTTCAGTAATGAAATCCTGAACTGAGAAATGGTGTAACAGAGCAAACTTTAGACATTTATCTTGAATGCTTCACCCGTGACCATCATCCATTACCTCATCATCATCTCCGTCTAATGAGATAAGGTAACTACTGAAACTAGGGGGACCTGGCCTTAAAGGTGGACTCTCCAGACAGATTGTCTCAAGGCCAGAGATGTCAACATAAAGTTGTTTCAAGCACCAGGTTCTTTGTCCTGAAGCTAGAAGATAGAACCCTAAGAACCATACCTAGGGCCAGGGCTGTCAGTGCTGTCTTCCTGCTCTAGAGTTGGAGCTGAACTGTAACAGAGAGATTCAGTTGCCGATCTGAAGGTGCACTGTTCCTTTTGAGATGCCCCATGCCATCTCAGACACCAGCACACGGGTGGTGGATATGACATAGCCCCTACATCTTTTTGATCAGCACTTGAACTGCATACACATGAGCTAGGTGTCTAAGCTCCAATTACATTTACAGGAAAGTCAGTTCATCTAGTCAATCTAGTAAATGAAACCTAGAGAATTATCCATCGCCTCCTAAAATAGACTCCTATTGGTGGACTGAATTTGTCTCCAGACTCTACTGACTGTATTGACTAGATTCCCAGCAACTAAGACACCTAGTTCATATGTAGACACTGAAATTATATTCACCTTAAATCGGAGCAAGATGAATCCCTGCCCTGTAAGTCTCAGGGTAGGTTTTGAGGGTCTGTGGCTCCTGAGCAATCTAACCAAAAGTCTTGCTGGCATTACAGCTACTTACTGGAGTTGACACACTGCTCAGTTTCATAGACGTAAATAGAATGTCATCCTGTTTTGTAGCGATTTTCCAAGCTCAAATTTTTGGGGGACGTCTGGATTTCAGAAAATTGCAGAATAATTTAGTCTTTGTATAGTTCAGGTTGAAATTGAAACATGAACTGGTAGCCTTGTTTTTTCATACTATCAGCCAGAGTTCTCCTTTAGGTAGCTCTCCCTGAGACTACAAAAGTTTCTATTACTTTCACCTGTATTGCTTTTATGCTTTCACAGATGATCTATTGGCCCTGCCTCCAGCCTGCCAGCTCCGCTATAATATCTCACCTCTAGCAAACAGACCACTGAATCTGTGGAAAAAAAAGAATTAAAAGGAACACTCCTTATTTCCCCTACTTATTCCCTGCTCTTTGTCTGGATGGCTAAAGCTCAGTGAAAAGGATGAGTCCTGACCTGCATGGAACAAGGATTGTAAGCCCAGATCTTTATTTATGTAAGAAGGAACCGCCCTGTGTAATTTATTTAATAAAAATGGATTTCTTGGTGAGATGAACAATTACACTGTTACTTGCCTGATTATGCTTGGATAATGATTTGTCAATTAAGGCTCAGTACATTTAGAGATTAATTACCAGGAAATTCTAGTTGTCAACATTCCATCAGAATTTGGTTTTTTGCCTAAATAACAGTGTTGCTGTTCAGAGACCAAATTTGTTACCCTTACTCCCATCTCATATAACATGTTGATGGCTATGGGCTAATTTAAATAGTACAGGAATAACAGAATTTGGCCTGAAGTATTTAAATCTAACAACAGTAGTGAGAATACAGGCATGAAAACAAATACTTAATCAATAACTGAGCCCAAAGTATTCGTCTTTCATATATTTGGACACTTGGTAAAAAGTAATTACTTGTTTCTTTTCAATTTCATTAAAAGCTAGCAAGCTGAAATATCTAGCTCCAAGGCTAAATTAGTCTCTTGCTGTTTTATCCAAGTATGAAACAAGATAACAGAGTTGGTCAGTTATAGAATTCTTATTTTAATCTGTTCTTCTGGGAAGGTTCTTCGGCTAATTGGCAATGTACTTTACAGATTGATCTTTCAGAATACAGCAAATAATTAATTTTCAAATCTTTTAAGACTACCCTCCTCTTACCAACAGGTTGCTAATCTGGCCCTGACTGCTATGCATCTTGAAGCTTTTAGGTGTTGTTTTATATATTCCCATTCCTGTTCAGTTTCTTAGCATTTCTTGATAATAAACATTTAGGAGGCAGATTCAGCTCACAGGTCTAGGCACTACATTTCAGGTGTTTGTATGCAGATATTTACACATGGATGGCGCATAAGCTTTCGGTGTAAACCATGGAGATCTAGATTTACAGCCAGCTGATTCTAAAGGTGTGATTTAATTGCCTATACAGAAGTGTCTAATGCCCTTTGAAATGGATTAGGCTATTGAAGAGTAGAACTTAATACTAGTTAAGTAATTAATACTGAAGCACTGGATTGTCACATAGGACACAAGACTGTAAGACTCCAGAAGAGCAGCCTAACTGCTAAGCAGGATGCTCTACAGCATCTCAAGAGGCACCAGATACCTATGTTTAGGCAACTGAATAGTGTCCTAAGAGCTATTCACTTGACAGAATAGAGGTGTTCAAGAGCTGAATAGCTCTTTAGGCTCCATTGACAGCACTGATTTGATATCATTTGACTATGAGCTTAATTCAATTACTGACACATAGGCATCCAGTGCCATTTTAGATGTCTTATGGTAGCCTGTATGGAATTTAACTGGTGTTAGAAGGACAGTCAAACCAGATTTTTCTTCTTCATAGCAATTCAAATTCTACTCTGGCTTCTTTTGATCAGGAATAAAGAGAACAGGCTATTGTCCAAGTCTTTGCAGACAACTTCTAGACACCTGAAGAGTTTATGCAATTCCCACCAAGGTTTCTCTTTTTTTAAACTACACAATCATACCTGTTTCTCCAGTAATCTCAGGTATTCCATTTTCTAGACTTCCACTCATACTTACTAATTTTCCCTAGACCCTCTTCTGTTGCTCCACAACTGTCTTGAAGACCGCTACCCACAACCACAAATACTCAGCTCAGGCCTTAGCAATGCAAGTCAGACTCCTTACAGGATGTGTTTTGTTTGTTGGGTTTTTTTTTTCCCCAAGAAGATGTCAATGGCTCCTGTGCAGTCTGAGATCAACAGCAAGCCCTAGGTTTCTACATACAGAACCCTGGCCTAATCTGGTATTCCCTATCCTGAATTTGGATACAAAAAGTTAGTTGTATAGATGTTGTATTTTGCACTTGTCCATATTGTCTTTTGTACCTTTTTTCAGACCCATTTTGCTAATTTGGCAAGATAATTTTTAACTCCAATGCTATGCTCCAACATGCATGCAGTTCCTTCAGTATTCTTCCAGCTCTGCCTAGCCTTCTGTCATTATCTATGGGGTTTTTCCCATGCTTACCGTTGCTTCTCAGTAGTAACTATGGGAACAGATTTTCCCATTTGCATAAGTTACACAAGATTATACAGCACTGTTCCTCATGGAGGATAGGAGAAATAACTACTCCAAAAGCTGTTTATGGCATGACTCTGAAGTCTTCTTTTAGTTTTATACAATCAAAGCACACTAGTACTGAAATCTCTGAAATGTTGGCTGAGATACTGAGCTCAAAGAATTAATCTCTTCCCTTGAGACTTCAATAAACTCAAAGCCAAAAAAAAGCATGCCTGAATTATTCTCCACAAAAATGTAGAAACTGGCCCTAATTACTAGGACCATAAGAAAGCAGGGTCTTGAGAAGAAATTCTAAAAAAGTGTGCTGACTTTATCTGTCAGATTCATTAGCGTGCTTCAGACTCAGAATTAAATATGTGGTTTTGAGAAACAAATGTGATGTTTCCCCTGCATGGAAATACTTGTCACAAAATTTCTAATTAATCAAGCATTTTCATAATGTCCTGTACCAAAATAATAGTAAACTCAGTATTGTGTCTTCATCAGAGACAAAAATTATATGCTTCAGAAGACGGTACGAGAAACATGGGGTAATCTGTTCTCTGTGGCTGTCTCATCCTACTCCCTAATGTCAAGCTATCTTAAACTCTGGAGCATGGGATGTTTTTATTCCTTCCACAAGTTTTTTTTGGAAAGAACTGTTATGATTCTGAAAATTAGGTCAGTCATATAAATGTCTCCTCCTAGTTTTCATTCTCTCTCATATTTGTCTCACAGCTCTTTGGATTTCTCTTTTTCCTGATTTTAACAGATCTCTCTCATCTCTACATGACTAAATCATGCCTTTACTGAAATATTTCATACTGAACTAAAAGGTGGCTTTGGACTGTCACAAAAACTTCCCAGATAAGTTCTCTGTATTCTCATTGTTGTTCAAAAGAGCCATCCTACAAACACATATCCAGTCCTGTGGAGGGGCAGGTAAGCCCTGGCTGCCAAAGGTGACACTAGCTGCAGAATGGAAGGATATAGGATTAGAGTATCTGTTTCTCTATAGAAAAAAACCCTTCCATTCATAATGATAAACAAGAACAGCAGCAGCTGGCAAACCCCCTCATATTAATTTCAATCCCAGCGATATCTACATTTGTGTTCTGAAACACAACTTGTGTTTCTGTGTACTTTGGAACAGATGCTGTGTCCAAAGAGTGGGTGAAGTGCTGCTTACAAACATAATAGAGCTGTGCTGCATTTGTTCTAGTGTGCAGGGACAGACGGAACAGCACACTCCTTTGGTCTGAAGAGCACTGAAAGTCTGGAGGTCCCAAATAGTGGCCCCACACTTGCTGATGGCTTTCTGTGTTGTTTTGGTCTTGTCACACACAACATTTTCCTATGCTGACATCGAACATTAAACATGTAAATTAACGTTGTGCTTTGTCACCTGAAGACATCCAATGCTGTGAGTTACCAGTAACTTTTATTACATCTTCAAGGAAATAAGGAGGGAACCCTGGGATTTAATTTCAGCATCTTAATAATGATGACAAAAGCACTGGCTATGTATATAGTACTATATACCCATCACTGCCAATCAAGATATAAAAGACATTACATTCACTACGCAACAACAAAACAAACATGCACTGAAAAGTTGCAGGGAGGTGTTCGTAAAAACAGTGGGTTTTGACCTAGTATACCAAAACATACTTATGTATGTTCAGTAACCCTGTAGGCTACATTTAAACTCATGATTCAGAGGTGAATGACTTCGTATTTGTTTAGATCATAGATATTTAGGTGGCTGGTTAAGTATCACACACACAAGAAAAAGAAAAATAAACAAGAAATGATATTTCATGGACTCCTCCCTCCAGGATTTACCAAGTAAGTGATTTCTCTAGCCAAACACACAATACAGACTATATATAATTATGATTAATAATGATTAATTATGATTAATAAACCAGTAATTGTCATACACAAGGAAATTAAAACACTAAATGGACAATACTTGCCTGTGGCAAAGACAACATTCTTTGACACCAGTCTATATTCCACAATGGAGAACTGAGGAAGCTCAATCCTCTCCACGCCAGTGACTGCATTATCTCCACCTCTCCAGTAGAACTCTATGTCATCAGTTGTGTAGCCGTCTGCAGGAAAGTGTGGAGAGGAAGTGAGAAATAACAGCAGACTCAAATGTAGCTTCAAACACAGTACACGCGGTTTGTCATTTGAGACGATGAAAAGAACCAGAACAGTGGGAGTGGTGTATAGTATTTTGCTCTGTATGTCTGTCAGCAGGTCTCCCAAAGAGCTGTGCCATTACAGTCTGCCCAGGAATTTGAGGCAAAATACTCTGTTTTCTTTTTTTTTTGGTATCACTCTCATAAAATACACATAGTTATTAATAGCCCCAATGAGACAGAAAATGCTACCCAATAATCTGCAAAATTGCAGATTAGCATGATTTAAAACATCATACGCATTTAGCACTGAAACCAAGTGTATATTTATGCTGATAATCACCAGAAGAAGATGGACTATTCAATGAATACAGACAAACATAACTGGGGCAGATCTTTTCCACTCACACTAAAAAGTGTGAGTCGCATCATTTCCATTAGCTTCTGTAGTGGAGGACTACAGTTGAATATATAGAATATATACTAGTATTTTCTGTATATGGCCCACAATCTCCAGCCAGTAGCAGAAATGGAGCAGGAACTCTTGAAGTGCAAATATACATCTGAATACTGCAATCCTAGGACATGATTAGGTGGAAGAGACAATCTGGTTCTGTTTCGAACACAATTGCAAATTATAAATGGGGCCGATCTGAAAGCCCAGGGCAGGTCCTGCGGCAAGACTATCCATGCATAATAAAGCATACTGAAAGAAAATGATATCACAGTGTTTGCTCTCTTGAAAATGAATCTGACTAAAATATGAACATTCAATGTCTCATGTTGAAGATAAGCATCCAGTCACTGCCTCTGCCAAGTCAGGCTGGAGCAACAAATTACTTCATTCTGTCCTAAACCCATTTTTCTAGGATGTATCCATCCATCTAGAAATGGACGATGCCTTATTTTTTTTTTTAAAGTAAAATAAACAAACAAACAAAAAATCCAAAGGGTGATAATTGCATGATTCACATAGCGTTTATAGACACCAGTGTAAATACTACACAGTTCTATAAAAGGAATACTGCCCCATATCTGAACTAGGTTTTACTTGCAATTTCTTATGTACGTACAGCTTTCTATTTCCAGAGTACAGTTTTGTTCATCCAATGGGTATCTTCTCAAGTCCATCATACAAGCTGCAGTGGTTGTGATTCTGAAATACAAACATCAAATAGAATAACTGTACAGACAGTAATCCAAGTTTTGTTGTTGTTTACTTTTCAAAGTGAGGACTCTCTGAAGAGTAGCTTACAATAATTGAGAATCTGGTCCATAGTTTTACATTGAGCAGCAGCTTAACACAACAGCGGTTACACTGACTGCAATGGAACAACTCACTGTGACTTGCCCTTATGCAACCAGTCCCTTTGGGGTTCAGTGGACCTATCTGCGTATGCAAATATTACACAAACATTTGCTGAGATTAGAAAATATGACTTTGAATCAGAAAATGTGAAGTGAAAAAAGTCTGCTACAAATGTCAAAATGATGAGAGCTTTGTGAATAACTGATTCCTTGGTTTTGTGGCAGCTCTAGAAAAAAACTGAAATGTTGAAAAAATGTTTTAAGTCCAGCAAAATGCTTTGTTTCAAAGTTGAGTATACTTCCCAAGTTTTCAAATTTAAAGAGGATTTTATAATGAAGTGCCGTATTGAATTTTAAATTTTCTCCCCAAATAACAATATATTTTTGCTTCTCTATCTCTGATGCAGGCAATTTAGCACACTAAGGATGAATTTGCAAAACATTTCACTAGTGATAAATCTGCATTTTTCATCACACTCTTGTATATCAGGAGTGTCAACAATACACATGCACAATCAAAACAATTATACTAACAGCTTCACACAGCATTGGCACTTTATTTTTAAATTAATGGATTTATATATTTGTACTAACTTTTAGACAGATATAACCATATGCTTATGATTAATCTTCAGTGTATTTCAGTGTTTTGCTGAATCACAGCCTTCATAATTTTCTTTATAATGGCTTCATATAAATTTCACATTTAAACTATCTTCTGGGCCTGACTAGGTCCATTCCTTCATTCCTTACTGATCCTTTTCTGATATAAACAAGAGATGGACCTTGTACACAATTAGTTCCTAAATAAATAATATTCTGGTGATAATTTACACTAATAACACAAGAAGGGAAATACCTTAAATGCACCTCTAAAAGCTGGAACCCTCAATGTTAAGGTTTTGTCCATTTCAAGAGGAGAAAAGCAGTCAGGTGCCTTTCTTCACCTCTTTCACACAAAAAAACCCCTGTGTTGTTATTGTGAATGCCCTATCCAATCTCCCAGAAAAAGAAGGAAAGAATGCTTATCCTTAGTGTATAGGTTATTTCAGATGGATAACCACATAATATCCAAAGGAAGGGATTAAGACCATTACAGCTATCTCATAGGACAACAGAGGCCACCCTTCACTGACTGAGAAGGTGCTTTTGCAAGAAAGTATTATAATTTTTTTGCACAGGGAGAGACAGTTCTATGAGCACAAAGGCAAGGAATGAGCTAGGAGAGGAGAAAGCTCAAGGATCTGTTACTCAGCATATCTTCTCACTTGTGTTCTTACCAATGAGAAAGGCACACAGCCGATCTTTGTCCTTCCCAGCCTTATCTACAGCATGATCATGTCTCTGCCACTGCTGTTCACTCTGAGGGTCCTCTGAATACCCTTATGTCAGTTCCAGAGGCTTTCAGGTACCAAGTATTGTATCACAGGAGGATATGTAAGTCAACCTTTCTCCAGCTGCCTGTTGGGAGATGCTCTGGCTCCTCTGTTAATGCATGCCCCAGTGGGCTGGAATAGTTTACAAACAGCAATTCCTCAGCTGCTCTGCAGTTTAGGGGGACGTCGTCTTCTGCAATCAACATTTGCAAGTGCCCTTCTGGACCCTCAAGCAAGGTGCTAGACACAAGGCTAATTATGGAGATGAATGTCTCCTCAATATGACAACTACTAGCAGCTCTAGCTAAGCATATCAAACTAGGATTAGCATAGGGTTTTAGAGGAGAAAACTTAGTCTTAAATCTGTGATCATTGATGAACAAGGTCTTAGCAGTGATCAGCTTTACAAAGCCATACTGATTGTGCAATCAATCAATCTTGCTCCTGAGTCAACTGATAACTGTGCTCAAAGTAAAACATGCAGGCACGCTTGGGCATTGCTGCTATGAGGTTTCTATCCCATGCTTTGTTACATCCCCCTGCACTGACCTAAGTCTCATTTAAGATCCTGCAACAGAATCCACATGAGCTAAGTTGATAGAAGAGGGAGTGTGGTACCAGGATCTTAACTATTATGTTGTATAACTAGCTTTAAATGCCAGCCAGCCAGAACACATGCACTTAAAAGTGGTTAATTTGAGAGAATTATTAAAAATTACGCAGGTGGCAAACTTGCATTCAACTTACTAATTGCCTTATGACTTTTTAAGGAATGTATTTTTATTTTGGCCTATTCACATACCGTAATGGTTCTGTGTCACAAGTTCCAGTACCAGAAACTGCACATTCTTGCTCAAGTAAATTTTTACACTATAGCAAAATGTATGTTTTTAATTTCATGAATATCCACTAGAAAAGAAGATACAGCTAGATATAGATAGAAACAGATTTACCCCATTTACTCAAAGTAAGTTGGGTGCTCAGAGGTCCCTCCTGAATGAACGTTCAAGCAACCAAAGTTAAATTGCACAAATGCTCACCAAAAGCAAATGTTAATTGCTCAGGCTTGTGCATGCTCCCAAGAAGAGCAGGTTTATTTTTTATGGGATGGGATGCTGCCTGACACAGCAGGACAACAGGGTTTCAAGAACTCATCATCACAGCTGTGACAGAGAAACAATTACGAGCCAGACAAAGATAAAGTGGTACACAGATACACATACATTTTGGGTGAAAGCAATACACAAAGGAAATATATTTAATTGTTTAAAATTCCCTACTTCAGTTATCTTTCCTCTGGATATAGATTCTCTTATCCTTCTCTGCTACTTTATTACCAGGTTGATTGCCTTTGATTGTATTGCTGTATTGTACAGGAACCCCACCTGTGATGTGCTGGGAGGTGCTGCACAAACAACTGACAGAAGGATAGTTTCTGTCCCGCAAAAGTTTGCAATATAAATCAGGCTAAGCAATACAAATACTTCTTATGTGACTAGCTCACAGTCCTGATGGCTAATTTGATCCTCGTTTCATCTTGATACAGAAATACATTCATCCAAAAAAGAACAGAAATAAGGGCACTTGCCTTGTCTGACCGATGACAACTAACTTTTTTACCTTGCAAACATCCATCATGTTTTATATATGGGTGATAACTACGTGAGTCCTTTCAGATAAAATACATATATTCTTCCACTCTATTTATTTATAACATTTAGCATTGTACTGCCTAAGAACAAGATGTCTATATATGGCAAACATACAAGCAGTTGGAAAGCCTCTATTTTTGACACCCAGTCTATAATGTCTTTATTTCTTTTTTGGTCTATTATGAAAAAAAGCTGTTGTATCATCATATTGTTCTGAACAAAGTGGAACAAAGTCAGTATTGTGCCCAAAGAAAAAAATTCCCCAGAAATGGGTCGAACCTCAAAAAACTGCTGTCTCCTTCCCCCACTCTCATAGACTTTTGCTGTGGTAGCAAACTGCTTCCTCTGAAGTAGAGAGAAACCTTGGATAACTGAAGGTCAAGTCTTTCAAAACTATGATAAATTCTACATTGTTCAGAAGGGAACACAGAGCAAGTGTGGCCTCGGGATCCCTTTTGTTATATATTTTTTGAGTAACTGGTTTGCTCCATGGATAGTCTATAAATGGTTGCAACCCTCCAAAATCTCCCCTATTATTCTCAGTCACCCTGTGTTTTGTGGCTCATAAAACTCCAGGTTCTGGTCTCAGCCCGCAGGATGAATCATTGCCTCCAGGCTGTGGCTTGAGGCCAATGCCATTGGGATGCTCTGAAGCCACAACACAAGAAGATAGGTTAGCGGTAGAGCAACACAAAGCACAAGTCTTTAAATTGACAGAGCTAAGGCTGATATTTTCTTCCTTCTGTTCACAATGATGTCCTGTATTTTGCCAAGATTTAATTTCAGACAGTTATCCTTCATTAACTCAGCGGCTTCACACCATGGATATCTGACCCTGGATGTTGTGTGCTTTCAGAGGAAAGGGAATGGAAAGAAGCGTGCCACACATGAGCCACTGGTGAAATCCCTGCTAACCAAATACTATCAATCAAGTGAAATGCAATCTGCTTGTGGACATTTACATTTTGCAGAAGAGGAAGTTAACTTATTCAAATACACTCTTTTATGACAGATAATCCTCACCTGAATGACTCCAAATGTTTTTACAGTGTGACAGAAAGACTGCTATACCTTATTACGATCACAAGAGTTCTAATCTCTATCATTTTTTTATTACATTGCTTGTGGGGTTGGTTCTTGAGATAAAGGAAACAAAAATATCTGGCATTATTTTTTGACATTTAACTACTTGTGGAAAGAATCCTAAACCTGCAGTGTTCCATACTGGGTCAACAGCACATGAGATGAAAGCCTCCTTTTGCTAAAAACAGTTAATTATAGAGACAATATTTCCTGAACATCCTAAACTTCTTTAAAGTTTCATAATAGGCTGAGTCTATTTTTATTTTGTCTGGAAAGATTCATCCAATTATAGCCAATACATGACATGTAATAGGAGTTATAGAGGTGAGGGGCCAAGACCCAAGTCAGGTAAAAAGTTCCAACTGTTGATAAAAACCAAAAGCAGGTAAAATAATTATACTAAACATATAATCCATCTGCACCACTTTTCAGTTCTCAATCATTTTTATACTAGGGACTCTATTGTGCACTACCTATGGGCAGCAATCTTGAGTATGATCTATGCTTAAAAATACAAGAAACTTCCAATGATGGAAATGGAGCTTCCACTGGCAGACTTGTTTTCCTAGTACATTTAAAGCACTGGAGCAAATGGAGTAACCTGTCCAAGGAAAGCAACTTTTTGATACTACTGAGTCTTCCATTAAGATTTTTGCTAGTGTTGTTAAGCTTATTAAGGGAAGGATTTTTTTGGTGTTCCTAACCATAAAAGCTATGACAGAAAACAAAGAAAACACAGGTCAAGCCTAAAATAGGCAGAAAGTAGGATAATGTAAGGTCACTTTGTACCTCTGGTTTGAAATACAACACACTGCAGTGCTGATCCCTGCTTGAAGAAATCACTGAAGGTACCCATAGACATGGTCTTAACTGTGGCTGACTCGATTCAACCAGGGCTGCTTGTGGCTTTTTGTTTATCAACTACAGACACATCAAGAGTCAACATAAGCAGCCACATTCAATCTTACCGCTTGTATTTTGGACAAAATTTTCAGGTTTGCAATTAATGCATGCCTTTCTGCTTCCTATAGCTAGTGGGCTTTCCAGATATGGTGACTCTACAGAAACAGATAAAACCTGACTGAAGGCGCTTCTGGCAAAATTAAGAAACATCAAGCATGTCATTTGTTTTCTACAGGCATCTTTCAGAGTTACAGGGAAGGTTACATAATACACTACCCAGTGTTTGTAATAACCTTGTACCAGGAAGCAAATATCAACAATACATAACAACAGTGATGAAATTTTCATCATGGAGGTACAGACCTGAGGCCGTAAAGCACCGTTCCGTCCGGGTGAAGGCGAATCATTCGATTCTTCACGGTAACGCCATGTACAAATGATTTCTTGTCATTTAAGAAGTAAGTGTCAGGCACCCACAGTTGATCTGCCACTCGGTTATCGAGTGTGAGGTTGAGAGGTATGCCAGCGTAAGCCAGCCTCTTATCTCTCCAGTACTGTTGAAAATACATAGTCAAAGTGTAATCCTGGTGAGTAAAAAAAGAGAAGCACAACAGTCAATCATACTTGGTGTAACTAGAAGAATTTTTTTTCCCTGTCACTAGCTTGTTTTGCTGTTGGTTTAATTTAAATATTTTTTAAAAAATGCTTAATAAAAACATTAAATATTCCTATCACTAATTAAATTCTAATAATTCAAGTATCACTCTAGCCTAAGGGGGCTTTTCAAGTCTTAAGATACTCAGCTAGTATTGTTATCTTTTGCCCTGCTCCTCCTTTTCTTTCATGTATTTCCCCTGACACCTACCTGAAATATGATGTTTGTGGAATGATAAACAAGATAATAGGAAAATACCATCATCTTCCCATTTTTTAAAAATGATAGATGAATGGAAAAACATTCGAAGTATTTTGAAGCAGTATGCAAATTTCTGTCTGAAAAAATAAACTGCAAAGACGTTGTTTATATGTGTACCTTTGTGTGAGACTACATCTTGCAGTAACATCAAGATTTTCTCATCAACAGGCTACATTGGTATTTAGAAGAACAGTAGATTGTAGTAAAGTCCCACCAATGTCAATGTTTGGTTTTCATAATTTTGTCAATTAAGGTTCATGCTGTCTGCTATGAGCTGTGATCACTAACATAAAAGCCTAAACATGGATACAGAAGCCTGAAACATCCATTTTAAAATTCTTTATTTCATTTCAGAACTTACTAACCTGACTTGGTCATGTGATAGTAGCGCCATATTTAACAGTGAAAAAAATGAGACCGTTAAGTATAGGCCGTTAAAACCCTGATTTTCAAATTACAGAAGTGCTCTAAACAACAAAACTCTTCATGAAACTCTTCACAAAACACTGAGAAATTTATGTGATCTCCAAACACATTTCAATATTTAGCAGCAGGTGTGCAAGCCACAGGATACCTGCATTTGCATCTGGTTCTACAAGCTGGTGATGCAAAAGCCCTCAGGCTTGCTGCTTGTTCAGGAAAAGGATGTTCAGGCTTTCGAAGTACGGCTGTTGGGAATGGTCCATTCTTGTAATGGGTTTCATGTGAAGACAACCCAATTTCAGGCACTGATCCTGCCCTGCTTCCCTCAAGCACTACAGCTTTTCCTTGAAATCAAATGAAACCTAAGCATGCCTTTCACACCCGGAGCCTTTGCATTTGTTATTCAGTGATTCAGTCTCTTTAATGAGGGAGCTGCTATAGCTTTAAGAAATCAAATTTAATTGCTTAGAAAAATAAATCATAATAGATATCAAGGACAAGCTGTTCCTATTTTAGGAAACTAATAGGAGACCTTTGAAAACAAAAAGGCCTGGTGATGGGAGAAAGGAGCCCGCATGGAACTGCCTGGAAGGAAGCTCATTCCTCCGAACTCAAATCTGACACGACTGCTCAGGAGAATGTGCTCTGACCTTTTTTTCAGAAGCTTTCTTTGGTGGGACTAACGGTCCCTGCTCACCAGGGAACGCGGTACATGCTATACTGGGTGCACCTGCATCGCTTCCGTTAGCACATCAGGAAGACCACATCTCTCCTCATGTTCTCTGCAACCAATTTTCTGACACTGATGCATTAGAACAAACATCCTCTACCAGCTCTGTTCCACCTTAATTAAAGCTTGTTTCTGTTAACATTCAAAATTTGCTGTGTGCTTGGCTTCTACAATGGTTTGCACAACAACGTCAAGAAATCAGGGATTATAAAAGCTGTGGACACATGAGCAGTACACCAAAAGCTCACTATGTGTAAATACACAGTATCTGCGCAAAATAATGCTGAACAGAAATAAAGAAATGGGGTTGCACTGCACAGCATTGAAAGAAGTGAAACAGCTAGCACCAAGATATAAGAGAAGCAGTACATTTGAACACAAGAGAACTTTAGGCTAGCCTCCTTTTGCCTTTGGCTTGAGATAAAATACATGCTAACAGCCAATGAATGGATTAATTAACTAGCTAAGTAGAACATATGTAACAATACAAGCAGGAATAGTCTGTAATTTTATTTTTAAATAATAAAATTTACTATGGCATGGAATAACAGAGAAAAACGTTTACAAATTACATACAGAAACAGCAACATTAAGCAAACATCAAGAACTTTCATTGTCTTGGCTGAAAGACAAGCTTCCAAAAATTTATCCTCTACAGTACAAGTTTCATTAGTGCTTTCTCAATTAACCTTCACTTCTTATTTCATCTTAACTTTAAATTAAAACCCCCTATCTGTAAGTCTGCTAATGTATATGACTATATTTGCCTGCACTGAAAGCAATGATACCCTGAAAAGTTATTTTAAAAAAGTACATTATTGCATGCAAAACAGCAGCTCATTACCAGTTCTTCTAAGTATCTACTCAGTATCTACTAACGAAAATGCTCAAACAGCATCTTCTGCAACAGCAATATACTACCCAGATGCACTGACACGTCTGCCTAACCCCACTCTCTGCACTTTGAACAACAGACATGGCAGAAATAGAGTGCCCAAGAAAGCATGTGTGCTACCACACACCTTGAAGGATCACTGTAGATTTGTGCTCTGCCAGCCTCACCTGCTCTGAAGATAATGGGATAGAAAGAATTAATATGAACCATGCTTGTTCACCATCACAGTTTTTCCAATCATGTCAAAGCAAAAAGCAGCAGCAAACTTGTAGTAGAACTGTACTGAAACGGCTTGTTTGTGTGAGAAGTGATAAAATGAGCAGGAAAGGCTCTACCAAAGTCACCCCCAGCAGAAACTAAGCTTATTAAAACCATAAGGATGTCAGCTCTTATTCTTTGATTAACTAATTTTCTAAGCTTTGTACCCATAAAGGAAGTTTTCCCCTTTTCTATACTCCAGAGGAAAATGCAAAATTTGTTTGAGTGTAGACTGGAAAAAATGCACTATGTATTTGTCAGGTAAAATGAGAAAATGGACTTTTACCCCTAGGTAAGTAGCCTACAAAGTTTATTAAGGGCCACTTTCCTCCAGGGGAGCTTATGAGGACTAGCTCTGATACAGAGGTCAAGAGGGTACATGTCTAATCTAGAAGAGATTAATCCCACTACAGCTACTGTATTAGGGTGCTGTTATATGTCAAAGATGACACAGAGCTGCCAGCTTTAGGAAATTCTAACTATTGCACAGAGCAGTGCACAATTTTCTCAGCAGCAAAGACCTCCATAAATCATTTTTTTTCCCCATACAATACCATGCTACAGTCAAGGTCCCCCTTTGCCCTCTCCAGTTTCTCACAGTAATAGGCGCTTCAGGTCAAGCATGGTAACAAAATCATTCAAAGCCCTGACAGAAGGACAAACACAGTGCTTCTGAAGTACAGGAGATATGTCCTCAAAATGGGAAAAGCTGGACTTCACAGGCAACATGAGCTTTTTTTTGTGTATTCAAAGACCATGGAATATCTTACAAGGATAAAGAACGGTGACAAGCTTCCTTGACTTTCTAGCACTGCAACAATGCCACTAATGTAATGTGAGGGAAGGCACACAGAAGGGTGTGCTGATGTTTTTTCAACATAGTTTTCCCTGGGGGAAAAAAAAACCATACAACAAACAAAAAAACCCCACCTCAAATAGTAGATAATACGTGGGAAGGAATTTAGATACAATGGTAAAGAGGCTGATATCACAACTTAAATAGAGTATAATATATCAGTGTTCGTGTGTATTATCTGTGATTTCAAAACATCTTAAGAATTATAGAGACTCACAAATATTGTATATGCTAACCACGTAAAAAGAAATTTTAAAGCATTTTCTACATGATATTTGTCTCTCCACAGACTGAACATACCATGTAGGAAGCAAGTATGATTTAACTACAAAGCCACTTCAGACAGGCAGAATGTATTATAGTATGCTACTGTACAGTACCTAATGCATTGACTATAGGACTAATGAACGATAAATGCTAATATGCAGTGATACTAAAAGCAAACAATAATTTTTTTTCTGCTACGGGGTTTATCCTTAGCTTTTCTCTCCTGCATTCAATAAAAGGGAAAGAAAAATTTAAAAATACAGTTTGCTCATCAAAATAAAATTAACAACATCATAGCAGCAATAATGTTCTAAAATTGACTATTGCTGTTCACAGTCTTACTGTATTATGTATCAAGGGTATTAAAGTTTTCCAGTAGCTGTAAAAATGTTGTGTTTCTTCAAAATGACTGCTAGACAGAACACTACAATTAATAATTATGATGGAATACTGTTAATATGGCAGTCAAGCAAAAGAAATTATTCATGCAAAATAAATAAATATATTGAAAATTAACAGAAATATTGGAAAAATGTATGCAAAAAACAAGTATTCCACTGCTTGGGAAGACAGCCTTGTATCTACTTGAAACATGGATTCCTGTTTTAGATTTGCATTTGGATGTAAATTCACATCCTTGCTTTCTTGACCAACAGACAAATGTGATTATTACCATCAGCTTTTGGATTATTTATTTTTGATCAAGTTAATAAAGTAAATACTCATTCAGTGGATAAAAAGATGTATTGAAAATCCATGCCTTAGTCTCCATATAACTTCAAGGTCCCTTCCCTCACCTTCCACAGACTTTCAAAAATTAGATATGGCTGCTGTAGTATAAGGAGCTATTTCTGAAGCATTGATGATTGGGTTAAATTCTTCCCAATAAGCCCAAAGTGAGTTGCAAAGCCAAACTGATAATCCTATCCTTTGACAAAATAGCTGTAAATCTGTCCCCCTACCATCCACAGAAGAGACATGACAAATAGATTCATGCACACATTAATTCACACAGCTAAAAATGAATTTTATAAAGAGATATTCAGAAAGGCTAACTTTAGGAAGTCAGAATTTACCAGCAATACTATTCAGTTGTGTGAGATGATCACTTAAACATTTTTATCAGCATTTGAAATGTTCTAAAAGCTTCAGCAATCTTCATATATAGAAAACAATTATTAAAGAAAAAATTTACATTATATTTTACCTGTTGACATTTTTATTTTCCCAATGTCTAAA